GACAATTCTCATCCATGATATTTGAGCTCAGAACATCCACCAATAAAATGGAGACTTTTTCTGTTCTGTTTTTGTTGTTGTGTCCTGGATTAAGGTTTTGCTGATTGTTTAGTGTGGCATGGGGTGCAGAGTGTCTCAGGATGCAGGAGAATGAACACAAAAATGGAAATGTAGCACAAAACACAAGTTGAGATGAAAACATTGGACATGGAAAGCTTAGCTAGTCACCACAAAACACAAGTTGAGATGAAAACATTGGACATGGAAAGCTTAGCTAGTCACATGACACATCTTTTGTTTTGTAAGGCCTCCATTCACCATAGACGAAAATTAAAGCTTAATTTGTATATACAAAGTATCCCTCTTCATCTGGTCAGAAATTTGAAAGACAGTAAAAACAGAACAATATATCAACTACATTATGGTTCTACAACAAATCCAATCCTAAAACAGAGAATAGAATGAAAAAAAAAAAAAAAAAACTCGCTCTTCAAATCCGGAAGTTGCAACCTCCATCACTTATTGCTGACAATTTCTCACTACTTGCATTCTAAGCCTTGAATTGCCTTTGAAGACAAGTCAAATTTCATGGTGCAGTCCATTGTGGCAGACTTCTTTTTCTTCATGATAAACATCAATTCAACCTTACCAGTCAATTTAGCTTTGCTGCTCAGCGTCAACATCCCACTGCTCAACTCATTGCCAAAATTGGAACTGCTTCGCAATGCATTGGAATTCAAACTTACCTCAACAAAGATTTTTTTGGTGGGACGCATTCCAGGCTTGCTCTTTGGAATAACAATTTGCCCCACAGCCACGCTCCACGCCTTGGTACAAGAACGTTGCAGTGGCCGCATCAAACTCATTGGGTCCCCAATTTGTGTTTCTTGACTCTGATTTGGGTTGTGAAGCTTGTATCAAACGAAGGTGCTGCAGGGACAGTGTTAAAGTCTAGGACGTCGATGTTGCCTAACCGGACTTTGGGGGTCTTAACTTTCATCACAGTGTGTCCAAACACAGTGAGACTATGATATGAAACACAATGAAAATACCAATGTAATGGCCAATTTGATTCTTTTTTGGCGTTTCAGCTCATCAGCGGATTGCAAAGATGGTGAGTGTTAGAATTAGTTTCCAGGAAATGTTGAAATGTAACCAAGCGCTCTTAGTGTAGAGTTTTTGACTTGGTCTTTAAGTCCCATAGCTTACAAAGAAAAGGATATAATAAAATTAAGACATGTGATAAATATCTCTCTGCAAGATGTAGAGAGATCCAATTGTTTGTGTTCTAGGCATAGTCTTTATGCTGTCAATTTCAAAATTGGCCAATTGCCTATACTTTAATAATGTGAGAGTTAGGTGAGCTTTCTATTGTTATTTTCTATCAGATGCTGATGGAGTGGTATGCCAAGTACTGTTAGAATTGCACCAGACGCATTTTATCTTAGAACATTTCATCCATGAGCAGATGCTTCTATTGATATTTAATTAATATGTCAATCAAATCAAAGAAAAAAGCCTAAAAGCTCCTCAACAAAGTCATCTATCATCTAGAAGTGATTTGGACGCGTTTGGCGTGTGCAAAATTCTTCCCTTGAAACTCACATTTTCCAGGAAATTCATTCCACCACATAACTTACTGAAATTGGCCAAATTCCAAATACTATAAATAAGAGACCACTCTTCCATCATTTCCACAAACAACTCCCTCCATTTCCAAGTTTCATATCCTACAAAAGCAGAGAAGTTTCTTTCACTCATATCAGAAAAAGAAGAACTAAGAAACATGGCAGAGAAGACTCAGCAGGCTTATCCTTTGGCACCAGCAAACCATGGTTACCAAAGAAGTGATGCAGAGTCTTTGGAAAATGCTGATGAGCTGAAACGCAAGAAGAAAATCAAATTGGCCATATATATTACAATTTTCGTTGTGTTTCAGATCATAGTTATCACCACAATGAGTCTCACTGTCATGAAAGTCAAGACCCCCAGGTTCAGGTTAGGCAACATCAACGTCCAGAGCTTCGAATCTGTCCAGGCAACGCCTTCATTCGACACGAAATTCACAACCCAAATCAAGATCAAGAACTCAGCCAACTGGGGTTCCTACAAGTTCAATGCTGCCAATGTCACGTTTCAATACCAAGGCGAGACTCTGGCAGTAATTAATATTGAAAAGGGCAAGGCTGGATGGCTTTCGACCATAAAAAGAAATGCGGAGGTGAGTTTGAATTCAAGTCGAATAACTGGTTCAAATCTGGGCAGCGAATTGAGCAGCGGGGTGTTGACGCTCAACAGCGTAGGCAGATTGAATGGAAAAGTTGCAATTATGTTCATCATGAAGAAGAAGAAGGCTGCCAACATGAACTGCACTATTGCCTTTGATGTGGCAGCCAAGACGCTCAAATCTTTACAATGCAAATGAAAAAAACAGACCATGATTTGATTTCTCTATAATGATGTGGATTTTGGATTGATGAAGACTAGTTCTTGGATTTTTTTTCGTCATTGATATTCTTTTTTTTTTCTTTCTATAGCTATGAGTGACACTTGTACTGTATTTTGTTATAGAATTATAATACTACTTTACCTTTTCAATCACTGAACCGGTACCATTGCTATTCTTTTTACTTTATGTTTATCAAATGGCTTAAATCATGCATCAAAATCAATGGCAGTTTTGTAATTTAAAAGAAATTAAAAGCCTTTTTGTTATGTTATAAATGGACTTTGGGTGTCTTTCTAAAATCCATTTTATATAGGGTATTTTTATAATTTGGGCTCCTATATTGGGTATATTAGTGAATCTCCCTAAAATCAATTACAAATCCTATTTGATAATTCATAACTCATAAACTGAAACTGATACCTCAATTGCAAATCCTAATTGATACTTCATAAACTCCAAAAAAATCCCCAAATTAAAGCATCAAGAAATTGAGAGAAGCTTACATGACAAATATAGGAACTTGGTTCACTTGAATTAAGTCTTGAAGGTGAGTGCAGTATCAACAAGAGTGTTTTTTTTTCTCTACATGTGAGGGTAGGGTGGTGCTTCTTTGTTTTATTATTTTCTTTTTCTACATGCTCTGTGTGAGTTATTTTTTGAGATATTTAGTCATATACCCATTCTTATCACTAATAATATAGATAAACCCTACATCATTGAATTTCTATAAACAAACCCAAAAAATGACAGTTGGCCCTATTAAATTTAAGTTTGATTATTAAATTACATTGATACCCTATTGAGTATTTTTGGTTTTTTTTATGAGGTTTTGGGGTTGGGCTTGTTTTAAGAAATTGATGGCAGTTTTGTAATTCATAAGAAGTTAAAAGCCTCTTTTTTATGTTATAAATGGACTTTTGGTGTGTTTCTAAAGTCCATTTCATATATGGTATTTTTATAATTTGGGCACATATATTGGGTATAATAGTGAATCTCTTTTTTTTGTTTTTTCTCCTTTTTTTTCTTTTGCTATGCTGTGTGTGAGGTTTTCTCCCCCCCCCTGCCCTTTTTATTGACTACGTGTTGTGCAAAGAGTAGAACTAGATGAGGTTAGGTTATTTAAATTGGGTGAGCTAGGATTTTATTTTTTCGGCTGGAAAAAAGAAGCTACCTAGTCTATAGCCTAGGTTTGCCAAACTATAGGTTCGTCCCTGGGTGAGCTAGGATTTTTTTTTTGGCTGGAAAAAAGAAACCACCTAGGCTATAGCCCAAGTTTACCAAACTAAAGATCCGTCCCTGATTGCCTTTCCACACATAAGCATCATTGCTTTTCAGCACATATGCTTGATTTGATACACACAAGTACCTTTCGGTTTGGCACCCCGCCTATCAGTGCATTATCACTAACTAAGTGACATGAACAATATTGCCTTTTTCGACACTTTGCCCTTCGACATCATTGCTTCATGTCACCGACCGAGTGAACGAATGTAAAACCGGCATGAGGGAATTGGGAATAAAAAAGCCAAGTATTCTACTAGGTCCTTCTTACCTTGGGGCTTTGGGGACTAGGAATAGTGTGGCTAGGCGATATGTAGACGAAAAGGTTGCTCGGCCAGTGCATTCAAGTTACAACTCTTGAACCAAGAAGTACTTTCTTACGAGGGACTAAGAGGGACTGTTGGTATCGTGACTATTATTCTTAAACAAGTAACTTGTATTATGTAAACAAAACAAGTATAGTAATATTAAGAATATCAGTAATTTTTATGGACTTAGCCCGTTTGGGTGAACCACGATGTCTCCCAAGTTGTATCTAATTTTCGATTTGTTTCAATTTTTTAAAAAGATTTGTTTTTCTTTTGTGCTTGTTTTTACAACATGAATGATTGTAAAAGGAGCGTTCTTTTGTTACCAAAAAAAAAAGGAGCGTTCTTTACAAATTTACAAGCCACCGGAGAAATAAAAGGAAAGAAAGAGAATGGACAATATGATTGCAGAGTTGTTAAGTTTCTTTCCTAGAAATGAAAAATATAACCAAACGCGCATAGTTAGAGGTTGGACTTCTAGAGAGGGTCGATTAACTCCCACGAGGAGCTTATCACAACAACAACAATAATAAATTTGAGGTTCTTACAAAGAAAAAGACAAACTAATTAAAACCAAATAAAAAAATTATATCCGAATGCTAGCTTGGACTTTGTAATAAGACTTATACAGATCCTTGTTTGTTTGTGTGGAAGGCTAATTTTTTAAAGCCCTCGGAGCTTTCCATTAGTCTATACTAGATTTTTTTTATCAGTTTCGTATTTGAAACGCGTTCATATGCACAACAAATATATAATAACACAGTATCATGGGATTTCAAGTCATGTTCTCAAGCATCTAGTAGGCTACTACAAGTCAATAAACTACAACCTAACTATTTGCGCGTTTTGATTCCAATTTCCGGGAAGTTTACACCCTCGATATTATTCCTGCAACTAACTCATTTACCAAATTGTCTATAAATACCACACAGCCCCTCACCAACATTCTCACAATCAATTCACTTGCTCATCAGTTCATATTTTACAGAGCGAAACAGAGAAAAAGCAGCGCATTTTCTTTTGAGGGTTTACTTCCACTAAAAGAAATCAACATGGCTTGGAAAACAAGTGATGCAGAATCTTTGCAATCCTCTGATGAGCTGAAACGCCAGAAGAAAATCAAAATGGCCATCTATATTAGTATTTTCGTTGTGTTTCAGATCATAGTTATCACCACAATGAGTCTCACTGTGATGAAAGTCAAGACCCCCAGGTTCAGGCTAGGCAACATCAACGTCCAAAGCTTCGAATCTGTCCCCGCAACGCCTTCATTCGACACGAAATTCACAACCCAAATCAAGATCAAGAACTCAGCCAACTGGGGTTCCTACAAGTTCAATGCTGCCAATGTCACGTTTCAATACCAAGGCGAGACTCTGGCAGTAATTAATATTGAAAAGGGCAAGGCTGGATGGCTTTCGACAATTAAAAGAAATGCGGAGGTGAGTTTGAATTCAAGTCGAATAACTGGTTCAAATCTGGGCAGTGAATTGAGCAGCGGGGTGTTGACGCTCAACAGCGTAGGAAGATTGAATGGAAAAGTTGCAATTATGTTCATAATGAAGAAGAAGAAGGCTACCAACATGAACTGCACCATAGCTTTTGATGTGGCAGCCAAGACGCTCAAATCTTTACAATGCAAATGATTAGATTTGCGAGATCAAGATTGGTTCTTAATTTGTCATTTGTTATTATTTTGCCCTTGTGTACTCCTTGGATTTGTTTTATACGATTGAATATAGAAACAGATGCTTACTTATCTTCTTCTTAATTGAGTCCAATCACAAAATTCTACTAGAATTATATAATTTTGAACACTTACATGACAGAAGCAGCGTGAAACCAACTTATATATGTTGGATTTGATTGACTTCAAAATTGGAACAAATTGGACTAGATAAGTAAGCTTAACGGATTGAATTAGATTTGAACAACCCTATAAAAAAGGTGGGAGTAAAAAAAAAACCATACTTCTTAAAGCGCGCGCTCAAGCCTTGCCAACATAATGCAAGACTGGACTTGAGTGAAATGGTTATCAAATGGGCACTATATTTTTAGCAAATGGTTTGAATCATGCAACTTGTCTTGTTTATCCAAGAAGGCCAATATTTGCAGAAATGGGTCTACTCTTAGGATCAATCTTGAAAAGGAGGAGCAGGATTAGAATGAAATGAGCATATGAAAGTTACAGAAGTTAACGAACTAAAAAACGTAAATCGAACGAACAAAAGAAGTTAAAATTAAAATTAAAGTTTAATTTGTACATTCGAACTATATACTAGTTCAGAAATTAAGTTCCTTAATCCTTGGCTTTGTTGGATTGGTTTAAGGCCTCTGCAACTTTCTGTCTCTGCAACTCCTCCCACTCCGATCACCGGTTGACATCGCTGGATAGCATGTTGCTTTTTTGGACACTCTTGAATCTCCATTCACCTACAATATTGTGACTACCACTTTGACCCAAAAAGAAAATTAGAACTTAAAATGATTTACAAAAACATTAAAACCCCAGAAAAAAAAAATGATCACAACGTTTAGACATTTTTTCCAACAGGCAATACTGCCGCAAAAATCAAATAAATCATGCAATAAACAAATTTAAAATAAAAAAGAGTTCACGCGTCAACACCATTCTAGTAGTGGTCGACCCCATCAAAAAGGGCAGTCCACCAACCCCCACCAACCGCACTCCCCACAAATCCACCAACTCCCTCCCCTTCAAAATCCGCTTCCATTTTTCCTCCAGCGCCAAATCCAACCCCTGCTCTTCGACTAGGCTAACCACAGAAATTCTCTCTCTCTCTCTCTCTCTTTGTTTGGACTCCCCTCTCTCTTGCGTAGTAGCAGATCATCATTTCCAACCCCTGCTCAAAAGAAAATCACCCCTGCTTGCTGCCTGTCAAGACTTAATTAAAGCAAACCAAGGTAATATTTCATTCATCATCTGCTTTTTTTTATGTTGAAATTTTGGGGAATATTTATGGTTTATGAAGTATCAATTAGGGATTTATAATTGAAGTTTATCCGTTTATGAGTTGTAATTGATTTTGGTTGTTGAATTATCAAATAGAATTTGAAATTGATTTTGGTGTTCATGCTTGTATGAATTATCAATTAGGAATTTTGATAAATTGATTAGTTGTTGACATGTTGATTGAAGATGTGATGAAGACCTAATTTCTTATTTACAATTAATGGCATTTTCTGATTTTGATTAGATATTTAACTATTTAAGTATATTTTTATTGGATTTTTCTTGTTGGTTTATATTTCTACATTTTTTTATATATTATTTGGTAGATTATACTTTATAATGTTGCGACAACATCGAAATGTTAAGAGATTAAAGACTTTTCGAGAGGTTTTTAAGAGAAACAATGATGAATCATTAATTATGTCTATTTTTTTGTTATCAAACTCGTACTTCAATATTTCTATAGGTTTGTCCAAAAGATAAATTTAGCCCCACGCTGTATTGAAATTCTGGGTCCATCCCTGATGGCTACCGAAATGCCTCCGAATTTCTGGGGCGACATGCCAGAGGAGGACTACTACACCTCCCAAGGCGTGCGCAACACCAAATCATTCTTCCAGACCCCTAACGGCCAGATCTTCACCCAGAGCTTCTTGCCGTTGGATCAAACAGTCAAAGGCACCGTCTACATGACCCACGGCTACGGATCCGACACCGGCTGGCTCTTCCAGAAAATATGCATCCACTACGCCACGTGGGGCTACGCCGTCTTCGCCGCCGATCTCCTCGGCCACGGGCGATCCGACGGCCTCCGCTGCTACCTTGGCGACATGGAGAAAGTTGCCGCCACGTCACTCTCCTACTTCCTCCACGTGCGCCGCAACGAATTATACCTCCACCTCCCTGCCTTCCTCTTCGGCGAGTCCATGGGCGGCGCTGCCACCATGCTCATGTACTTCCAGTCCCCGCCCGACACGTGGACGGGCCTTATCTTCTCCGCCCCGCTCTTCGTCATCCCGGAGAACATGAAGCCCAGCAAGGTCCACCTGTTCCTGTACGGCCTCCTCTTCGGGATAGCCGACACGTGGGCGGCGATGCCGGACAACAAGATGGTCGGAAAAGCGATCAAGGACCCCGCGAAGCTGAAGATTATAGCCTCGAATCCGAGGAGGTACACGGGCCCACCGAGGGTGGGGACCATGAGGGAGATCGCGAGGGTGTGCCAGTACATACAGGACAACTTCTCGCGCGTCACGACTCCGTTTTTGACAGTGCACGGGACGGCGGACGGGGTGACGTGTCCGTCGTCGTCGAAGCTGTTGTACGAGAAGGCATCGAGTGTGGACAAGACCTTGAAGATTTACGATGGGATGTACCATTCCTTGATACAAGGGGAGCCCGATGAGAATGCGGAGATTGTGTTGAGGGATATGAGGGAGTGGATTGATGAGAGGGTTGAGAGGTATGGGCCCAAGTTGCGGTCCGATGAACAATGAAGAGGATGAATGGGAGTAAGTAAATGCAGTGGTAATTTGGTTGGGATCAGAATTGTATTTTATTTGAAGGTTACAAATTACAATTACCACTGAAATATTTAAGTTTCTTTCCAAGAAATGAAAAAACGTAAATTGAAGGAACAAAAGAAGTGAAAAAACATGTCAGTCGTTGGAGGCTTTGCTCTGTGTAGTTCATCCATCCATGACATGACATGCCCTCCACTCCACGAATTAATTATTAAAACACTATGTTTTATCTGATAACTCATAAAACAAATATCTCGTTTCAATTATACTCAACTTACAAAATGTGCTAATTCGTATGTCATCTTTTAATTATTAGGTCACATGTAATGTAAATAAGCATCTAGAGTCAGCTCACATAGTTTACTTTTATTTTATGAATGGTGGATGGAGTGTTGTGCGCAAACACTCCAAGACCTTGTCGTTGATGGACTATGCAATGACACACACACACAAACCCCTTGATAATAAAACACACACCGAAAAGAACACAAAGATTTATAGAGGTTCGGCCTCGTGCCTACGTCCTCTTGATGATCAATCTAAGAAATTCACTAGTATGTAAGAACAACTTTAGTTACAATCAAGAACCCTTTTAACTCTCATAAGAGCCTTAGCCTTTTTTTCTCTCACTTTTGCTCAAACCCTTAGATGGCCGTTGTAAACACTCAAGAATTCACCATTGAATCATGTCTTGGGTTTCTTCCTTGAAAATTCGCTCTTGAATTTTCTCCTCTTAAATGCATACATGGGCAGAACTACCACAAGGGCTATAATGGATTGTAGCCCATTAAGGTTTTTGGGTTAAAAAAATATGAGATATTTATAAAAATACCCAATTCTAGACATGTATTTATAAAAATACCCAAGCACTATTTAAACATAGAAACATACCCAAAATGGGTTTTGGGTATGTGTGTAATGATGAGTTTTGGGTATGTTTATAAATGGGTTTTGAGTGTGTGTAATGATGAGTTTTGGGTATGTTTATAAATGGGTTTTGAGTGTGTGTAATGATGAGTTTTGGGTATGTTTATAAATGGGTTTTGAGTGTGTGTAATGATGAGTTTTGGTAAACCTATATATTTGCCTCATTTCAAATATAGCCCGATATCTATTAACCTATTAAAGTATTAAAAGTCCTATTAAAGTATTAGGATAGTTTTTCCTATTATTTTGGGGTTTTCCTAA